TGGAAACACTTGGAAACATCTGGGAACACCTGGAAACACATGAAAACACCTGGAAACACTTGGAAACATCTGGGAACACATGGAAACACATGGAAACACCTGGAAACACCTGGAAACATCTGGGAACACCTGGAAACACATGTGAACACCTGGAAACACTTGGAAACACATGGAAACACCTGGAAACACTTGGAAACACATGTGAACACCTGGAAACACTTGGAAACACCTGGAAACACATGGAAACACCTGGGAACACCTGGAAACACCTCTGATATATAAATCAAAATATATTTCTCTCATTTAGCAGCTGATAATTCATGACTTTTGTCTGACTCGTGATTTATTTTAACAGAACTAAAGAGCACGAGACAAACTGCAGCTGAACCAATAAATCAGGAAACACAAACAAACACAAACCAGATTAACGTTCAATAAATAAACAAACTTTGGTCCACTGTTCAATAAGAAGAAAAGTGATAATGACGGTGCCTGTTTGTCGTGTTAGCTAAATATCTCATGAACAACTGGACTGATTTAAATTGAATAATTAGACGTTCGTCTACAAGTGATGAAAACTTGGAGTGGACCCGATCCAACATGGCCACCAGAGCCAACCGAGCTTCAGAAAGCTCAGTTTTACAACATTTAGCTGATATTCGACCTGGTAGCTGAAAAACGAGCCGTGAAACATCCTGTGCTTTTGGACGATGGTAAAAAGAGTTGTTGACTCACCATGTCCACCAAGGTCAAAGTTCACCGTCAGTGTTTGATGCCGAGAAACGTGGACCCTAAACCAGCACGAAGCCACACAACGTCCATCAACGCCTGAGTATTAAATGGGACCCATTTGTTCGCCTTGAGGACGTGTGTCGTGGAAAAAGGGATTCCCAAAACAACCAGGTGTCAGCTTCATCAGATTTATCACAAAGCTTTGGAGAAGAGCCAGAAACCACATCAGTGCATTTACATGATCACTCTTATCCATGCTTGCACCGGTCCGAGGCTCCGTTCTGACTCCCTGAACCGAAGAGGTGAGTTTGTAGAAGCTTCCAGGAGCCAGTCCCTCCTGCCCTGTCCAGCTTTATCAGAACCGACTGCAGTCAGACGTGAGAGGAGTCTGGGAGCCAGCAGCTTCACGGACTCTCCAAGACAAAAGGACCATGGGACATTTTAATGTCTCTCACAAGAACAGGCAAAGAGCAGTGAACAGTACACGTTCCCGTGACACGAGGAGGAGCTGAAGACTCTGAACTGAGGCCGACTGGAAGCTGACTCGGCTCGGCCCGGTTGGAGCAAACGACACACGTGTGTGACGTGCACGGAGAACCGAGTCAGGAAGCTCCACTGATCCAAACTGAGCTTTGAAGACACTTGCAGAAACACCTCGAGGAGCGCTCACCTGCTCACTCGATGGCCCGCTGTAGGAAAGGTGCACGTACACGGAGAGAGCTGAGTGATCAGCAGCGCCTCCAGAAACTTAGAGGCTGCTGATAATCCAGGGTGGATCTCCAAAAGGTCCTCATTTTACGGCTAACACTTCTGATGATGACGTTCACAGACAGAACGGGGAACGTTCCACAACGGTCCGGGTTTTTACAGACACTTGTACGTCCTTCCTTCAGTCCAACGACGTCCAGTCAGGCCCTCTGGACAGGTTCTTTTGACTTGGTGGAAAATAACAAAAAGCCCGATGGAAGGACCATCAAGACGAACATCTTCATTTCAAAGGGTTAACCAGAGCAAGTTTCTGAAGTTTAAAGCCACTTCTTCTAATTCTATAAAGAAATATTAGTAAAATGAAAAACATGCTGCTCCAGAGAACCTGCTTCTTCACGTTGAGGGCACTGGTTTTAAACCAGTTCATTTTGTTAACTAGATGTTACATTTTGGTTCTGGTTGTAAATAAAACTGTTTATTTATGTTTTGAGCTCCTCAATGATTCAAAACCTCCATCATCTTTACCGGCGTCTTCCTTTTTGACTCGCAGGGGTCACTGGTGCCCATGTCCAGCAGTCACTGGGTGAGAGGCGGGGGACACCTGGACAGGTCTCCAGTCCATCACAGGGACACATAGGGACAATTTAGAGTCACCAGTCAGTCTAACATGCATGTTTTTGGTCTGTGGGAGGAAACTGGAGTACTGGGAGAAAACCCACGCAGCACAGAGAGAACATGTAAACTCCATCCAGAAAGGTCTTGGGCCGGGATTTGAACCGGCAACCTTCTCGCTGAGAGGCAACAGCTCTACCAACTGAGCCACCGTGCTGCCCTGATCATAAACAGTGTTACCCTTAACATTTATAAGGTTCTACTAATCAAAGTGGGACTGAAGAGAAACTGCCTGTGGGGCGGCCACCAAGTTTTTAGGGATGGCCAGGTGGACTTTATTCTTCTTTACAACAATAATTTATTTTATTTATTTAACAAAACTCTTCCTATTAGATCCTGATTCATGCTCAATAATCCAGGTCGATGAATCTAACCAGGTTAAGTCAGCTCCTCTGGAGGATTCTTCTTGTTGAAACATTTCATCTTTAATCCAAAGGACTTCTTCAGTCTGAGGAGCTGCAACAAACTCAGTCTTATAAATAGCACCTCCTCATAGTGGATCAACCAGTTTGGTGGTGGTTTCTGTTGCAACAAGAAGAACCCGTCCAGAGGACCTGACTTAACTTTGTTAGACCTGAACACGAGTCAGGTCGTTCCCATTAGTTTAAAACCAGACAAAGTCAGGAAAGTATATTTCCACACTTTTTTAAATGTGTGGCTCAACTTTTCACAAAGTTCAAGATAAAAAAATCCTGAGCTTCAGTTATCCTCCAGCAGTACTTGATTTTATTGTTTTTAGATCCAAGACATTTGAAAGAAACACAAAGCCTCAAACACTGAGGTCAGAGTTGGATTAAAGTGTGACGACAAGTTAAACCCACGACCGCAGCTCGTCCCGTCTGAAGACACGACAACAAGTCCAGTTCAGCCGTGACCTGCAAGTTCAGGACACGACTGAACTCTGGAGCTGCAGACCTACACACACAGAAAATCTTTATCTGAGTCTGTTTGCCTCGATGCTCCAGACTGAACCTGAATAACCACAAGAAGCTCTGAAGTTCGGCTGAAGGAGCCGAAGAAGCTGCTCTGCAGGGACTCACACGGCTGTTGGCAGCTTTTCAACACCTGTGCTCTGCAGCACAAACTCAGCTCGAAGCCACGGCCTCTTAAAAAAGACCCAACGTCTTTGTGTCTCACTGAGCAACTGATAAACCAAACAAAGGTCATGAAAAGTCCAGTTCCACTGCTGCGGCAGAGAAATGCAGAAATAAAAACCAGCCGAAGCTTTCTGAGGATTTACAGCTACTTTCCTGCAAAATGCACTGAAAGACACTGAAAGACACTGAAAGACAGTGAAAGACAGTGAAAGACACTGAAAGACACTGAAAGACACTGAAAGA